ATCGGACCCCACATTCTGGTATACTCCCCCACAAAGGAATCAAATTTTTGAATATCCACGAATCCCATAAAACCCGTAATTAACATCCGATTCCATTCAATCGTAGTACATATCAATATTTTCTTCAATACATGATCTGTTTTAAAGATGGTAAAAATTGTTATTTCTTCTAACAGAAGATCTGGTGTGAAGATGAGATGCCATAAAAATACGAAATTAGCGTCCGATTATTTTCAAACTTCACATTTCAATATTTTTACTAACACAAGATCTGATATGAAAATGGAATATATCGGACCACACCTTCTGGAATAATTATATCTCTCATAAAATGTGAAATAAGCTGAGGTTATGCATCCGTCGGCAAAAACCGACGACTGATACTTTTTAACTTGTTTTTTCTTTCTATTTTTCTTAAAACTTAGTGCTACAAAAAAATATTGCAAATTTCGTATAAATTTAGTAATTGTTTGAAAATCTCAGCTTCTGGGTTTTAGAGTTGTGACTTGTTACGGCGAAAATCAGTGAAAAAGAAAACCACATAGACACTATCACAAACTCACCACTATGCGACGCATTTCGCCGTTGTCAGTTTATGGGGTTTATTTTGGTGCACTTTTTATAATTTTTCTTTTTATTGTAAGCAATTGAAATTCTATCACCTAATTTTAAATCCGATCTATGACGTTTGCACTATTGTTAAAATTTCCCTATTGTTGATTTTACAAATTCTAAACTTCCAACCCTGCACCCAAACCGAAACAAAGAAAACACCATTTATTTGTTGACACGTTCGAGGGAGAGAGAGATTAGTTTACAATAATTTCTCCACCAAAAACGAACATGAAATTTAGAACTCAACAAGAAAAACTTACCACTTTTTACAACAAATTGATGTCTCAAAAAGTAAACAAAGCACTAAACATGAAAAGAAACACAATGCATTATTCTCCGTTGGAGAGAACAGAACGGGAAAGAAACAACTTCGTTAAGATGTTACTTCAATGAAGACGTTTTAACAACTGACAACTCGGGGCTGACGAAACTAAAAGAAAAATCACTTGACTTGGCCATTGAAAAAGAAGCAGACGTTCTTAAAGAGGAAAGAAACCAAAACCAAAGCTGACAAAATCAATGGAAAGAAACAAACTTGTGCTCATATGTATTTCATAGGACTTCCCTCCCGTTTCCCTTTCCATGCGACGAGTAAACGAAGAAGCAAAAGCACACAGTAGGCCCCCAAAGCCAAACAGCCGCAGCCACATGAAGAACAACAAGTTAGTCTCTTCCCCCCTGTTATAGAATGTGTAACACGCATTCGTGTGTATCTTCTAAACATTCAGTAGCTCTGTGTTTTGAGAGAGAGAGCAAATCGAGAGTAGAGAGACATAAACTACTACCGCTCCTGTGTTAACTCTGTGTGTTGCTGTTACTGTGGGTTTCGTGTAAAAGTAGGAGGTGCTTAACACCAGTAGCCGAAGCTTAATAATACAGATCGTAACAGCAAACACAACTGGGGATTAAGAACCACCATAAACCAAGTAACAACAAGTGTGTATCACGATCACCACCAGCGCTGATCGGTAGAATCGGTTCGTGAACCACTCTCAGCTCATCTTCTTCGTTGACTTCGTTAAATCAGTGCAACTCTCTTCGATGATTTGTTAACTCCAGTAGCAGCCGAAGTTTAGTGTTCATCTCAAGACATTTAATAGACAAACGATTGGTTGAAATTGCATTGAGACGAAGGTGTACTGTCACGATTGGTTTACATGAAAACGGTAGCCGAAGTTTGTGTTACAATCGTTTGTTGTCCGTTGAAAGAGGAGGAAGTTTGTTGTTAAGAGTAATTTTAATAGAGCAATATAATGATAAAATGAGATTTCAAATGAGATGTTTAGGTTACAAGGGAATTTTGTTACTTTCGGAGCGATGTTCAGATATCGGAGTGTGGTGATATTTGTACACATTCGCCCTATGTTATTTAAAATGTGAACTCGTGTCAAGAATTCCAGAATGTCAGAATCGGATCCAAACTAGTGCCCAATGACTATGGAAATGACTGTTTTGACACATTTTGAAAGTTTTTTAATCTTTTTATGGATGGCAGGTTTAAAGGAATTTTGACAACCTTAACTAGGTGTGGTTTGTTGTATGTTCTTTTTTCAAGTAGGGTAAGTGCTCCTATGTTCGGCATGTCCAAGTATTCGGCATTTTTTATATTTAAACTCAAATGAATTGCAATTTTTATAACAAAATGTTATAATAAACCTATAATAGCTTTGAAAATATTGTCAGCAATCTTTGTGTAAAATTTCGTTGAGAAAAATTGATTTTTTTTTAATTTAAGTTTTTTCAGTGGTCGTCCTTCAGCGCGGACGAAAGAATGCATACAATTACTGGAGACGTTCAATTTGAAAGACTCGTAATTATGTTAAAATTAACAAATTTTCGTTCGGAACCGTTTAAAATACTAAAGAACTGTCTAAAGAACTCTTTATATAAGAAAGCTATTGAAAAAACTTTATAAATATTTTTTTACATTTTATGTCACTGATGCCGTCTTCGCCTAAAGAAAAATAATTTTCCTAAAGTCGACATATGGACGGAAAACATGATTTTTTCTGTTATAACTAACTAAACTTTAAAAAAATATAAAATAAATAACTGCCAACATACTCAGGTTCATATTTTTATAGCCACATCCCGGGCCAACCAAAAAAGTTTTTTTTTTTTTGTCTATTTTAACACAGATTAATATAAGCTATCGGTGATGTTTTACTTTTAAATCCAAAATTGGTTATCACTTATTTTGGATTTGTAACGGGTAAAAAATCCATATAACAAAAATATTATAACAGATTTTCACACTTTGCCCATAGTTCTCTGTCGATTTAACATTTTTTTAATTTGGGTAGTTTCACTTCGTACTTCAGATCATCCCGTCGCACCTGTTCGACAACAGTGCATTTCTCTCTTGCAGCTGTAATTTAATTTTTTCTAGTGGAGCAGCGATGTACGCCGGGGGGAGTTTGGGATAAATTACTACTTTTCCGCCATTTTTATACCCCACATCACTAGCCAAAAATCTAGTAACACCTCGAAATATTCCTCCTAGTCCCCAGGATCCTCCTATATCTTATATCAAAATATTAAGGGGTTGATATGGACCAAAAATGAAAAAATTCCTGATTTTGGAGTTGCTCTACTTTTTGCATGATGTAAGATTTTAAGACATTTATCAGAGCTTTTAGCTTTAAATTTAGCATGGTGTAGGCTTATGGTCAGAATTGAACCCTATTGTGTTTGAACAATACATTTAACATAACATAACATTTTCCTGATCGTTCCACACGTCACAATTACGGTTGCAGGACTGTATGGCGTTATTTCCAAAACCAAAATGGGGGCTTTCCAATATAATATTGTGTTGTAGGATATCACAAAGTCGGTCACGCACGACTATAGCATTTGCTTGCTTGTTCTTTTAATTTAAATGGAAAATTTAATTTTTTTGATATGATTTCGAAATGCCCGTCCCTGTAGTGGGGTATGTAAAAAGTTCAGCGCCTAGGATGTTTATTTTTTATTTTCTTGGTAAAAAAAATAGACTTTAAAGGAGTCCTATAGGAAGGATGTCTTGTACCCAAGTCTGATTCTAAGTTTTGATCGAAAGAGTTAAAATTTAATTTTTGGTTCTCAAAACACATTATTCCCTGAATTTAGTCTTATTATCTTCCAATACGTTGGAATTGACTGATGAATGAATACAATTCTCTCGAAGTGAATTGATTCATTAAATTTTGGATCAATTTCAGAAAATACATTCGATATGTGGATTTTGTTAAAAAAAAATAAATATAATAAAAAATTATAATTTCTCGGCTCTTTTTCTATGAAAATATAGTTTTTCCATCAAACAACAAACATTTTTTCAATTAATATTTCATGACATAAATAGATCGAATTAATAAAGATTTGTCAATCTGAAAACATTATTTCGTCTTACGTCTGTTATTATTGCATCCTGGGGAATTAACAATTTTTTATAAGAAGATTTCATTATCTACAAGTCTTCAGAGAATTGGGAACTCTTATTTGATTTTTAATATCTTACACATATACAACTTTAGCAAAAATGGTGAAACAACCATGGTTGGGGTTTTGAGATTTTACCGTAGCGGATAGCATTAAAATCACCTATATTTCGCAAGTACACTTGAATTCTTTTTTTCTATATTTAAATAATTTTAACTTTTTTTTGTGGCATACAGGGGTAAAGTTTAGAAATTCCATTCATGACAATATGAATATAAACAATTCGGAACGAATTCGGCAAATTTCAAAAAGATAAAATCCTTTTAAAATTCTTTAAAAATACCGAATGTAGCCGTTATATTAGGGTCTATACGACGGCGTGGACCTACTTAGGCAAATTTTGTTATAAGCCATTAGAATATTCAAATGCTAAACTTGAAAAAAATCCTTGAATGATGTAGCTAAAATCATCACAATACCGAATATCGGGAATTCCCATTATATGGGGGCTATACCAAAACGTGGACCTGCACAGACAATTTTCTGTCATAGGGTGTAGTATCCATTCCGAACTTCAAGTACCAAATTTGAAACAATTCCGGTGAATAATGTCGCTAAAATCATCAAAATGCCGAATATCGGGAGATACCGTTATATGGGGGCTATATTAAAACGTGGACTTACATTGCCCATTTTCAATACCAAAAGTCCTGCAGACATAATATACATTTGAGTAAAAGTAAATACATTTGAGTAAATTCTCGTATTCGATATCGAAGAAGTTCAGGTCGAAATGAGTTTAAATACGTTCAAAACTTCGAATGTGGCATTTGTTTCTATCAAAATGTTCAATACTTATTTTTCCTCTTTCTTATTTTTCTTTCAAGTTTAATTAACAATTTTTAAATTTATAAAATATTATATTTGAGCTACCTAAAAATAAAATTTAATTTCAAACTCACCTTATTTCTTGGCTTGCAACTTCTGCTTTGGTTAAACTTTCGATAACCGCTTCGCAAAATCGTAAAGTTAGCTTTTAATTTTCTTTTACTTGGCGTTTTATTGATGAGAGGTATTTTAATATTTTCAAACTGCTACCGTATTTGAGTCCTCTACACAACTGCAACACGTTTGAGAGACAAGATCGTTAAACGTGTATCTGGTAGTTGTTATTGATATTCGATTTAATTTTTCTTTTATTATTTTTCTTCAATGCAAACAAAATTCAATTTTTTGTTTGCAATTGAAATTAAAAAACCAAGTTTTTTAATTGTTGTTGTTGTTGCTGACAATTATGTATTTTTTCGTTGATTCACGATTTGTGCTTCTTTTTTTATTTTTTTGATGGTAAAGCGAAAAAAAGACAGCGTTGACGCGCGTAGTTAGGCGGAGAACTTGACTACTTGTTGGTGCGTGCTCGGTGACTGGTAAGAAACTAAATAAGCCAAGCTTCAGTTGCTAGTGAGCAAGTAAAAAACCGTATGCGAACAAGTCGGTATTTCTTCGACTTCAGATTGGTTGGTGTTGTATCGTTCGCTGGAGCTGCCTGGTGTCGGGTACTTTTGTGTTTTGTTTTTGCTTGGTTGGTTGGAGGGGGGCTGTGGGGGGTTCTGCTTAGGAGAGACAGCAGACGTTAATATTATTAATAAAATATATTCCACTTCCGAACGCTTCCGTGCGCAACAGTCAACTGCAAAGTTACGATCGAAATTTCAGCTTAACGGCTGCCTGTGTTGAGCGCGCGAGTGGCTTCTGCTTCTGCTGCCACGATGTTGATGATGATGGCTGGTTGGTTGGTTGGTTGGCTGTTTGGCTGCTTCGATCGTTCTTCAGGCCTGCCTAGTCGCCAGCCAGTAGTAGTAGTTGTAGTGGTGGTGGTGATGGTAGTAGTAAAAGTGTGTGCTTAGGCTCAGCAGCTTTGAAATCTTATGAATTGTTGTTGTTGTTGTACAAAAACAATCAAAAATCACGAAAAGAAACTGATTCACTGATTTCAAAAGTCCAAAAAAAAAAACACAGAAAAACTTCCACGTTCGTCGTTTTCGTATCGTGCCGTAGTCTTATTTGCTGTTCCAAAAATTTCAAATGTTTCGCTCTGTTCGCCGTCGTACACGTTCACACAACGACTCACTTGTGGCCTGATCACCGATCATTACCTTAACTTTGCTCGATTTTGCTTTTGCCTCCTTTTGTGTTGTAGTTGTTGTTTTTTTTTTTTCATATTTGAGCTGGGGCCAAAGTGAGAGGTGCTTTGGGAGCTCTGAGCTAGCTCATTGATTGTTCTCCGTGTTGTTGTTGTTTGTGCTGCTGCTGGTTTGCCTTATTGCCTTTGGTTGTGGCGGTCGGTCGGTTACGGCGGCGTTTGCTCTTGATGGGTAATGAGTGCCAGGCCTGGCCTGGTTTGGTTTTTCTGTACTGCTCTAATCTTTGGTTGGCTGGCTGGCTCTATTCATTGACGTATCGCTAGGGTGTTGTTGTTGTTGCAACAATAAAGGTGCTCGGTGTGGCGTCAAGCCTTGCTCACAACAACATAAAAATGAAGACAAAATTGTCTAGATAATACTACCAACTTTAACGGCCCCTTTTCTTTTTGTCGATGCTGTTGTTTTTGTTGGTCTATCCTTTTGCCAGCTAGGCATTCATTCACCTTTTCCACACACAGCCACCAGCGGCCAGGAATCAATAGTTTCCATCTCTGTTGCTCTTTAAAACCCCCCGTAAGGCATTCATGTTCATTCACAAAAACAAAACCCAGCCCTCAAGAGAAAGAGCATTTTTGGACAAAGAGAGTTAGCGCCTCACAGTTATCTGAGAAAAAGGGGTTTCAGATGCCAGCAGCCAAATTTGTGTGAGTCTGCTTCTGGGGCCATGCATCTCTTTCAGAAATTTCGCCCCCTCCCCAAGAAAAAAGAACTCACAACAACAACGAAAAACACATCAGCAAAGAGGGCGTCTACCAATGCCACATTCTTGCTCTGAGGAGTGTTGGTAATTATGTCCAAATAAAAGGCTACCGTGATATACCCACCTATGGCCAGGTTATAAATGTGTGCGAGAGTGGACCCAACTCAACCTGTACATATTAATTAGTCTCTTCTTTTTTGCGTTTTGCCCCCAAACGAAAAAAAGGTAGGTAGCTCTTTGTCTGCTCTCCGATGCCACCAATACCAGGGCAAAACTCAATTCCCCAACTGTTCTTTCCTTCAAACTCTCTCTGATGTGTGAGTGAGTGAGTTCTCCCCCTTAAGCGTTGAACAGACAACTTGTTTGATTGGTCTCCAACTCTTTTGGCTGGTGGTTGTGACTCTCTTTTCAAAGTGTTTTTTTTTTGTTTGTGGTGGAGGGGACTACCGCTTGTGGTATACGGCTACTGGGCACAGCAAAGGAGATCACTACTGTGCAGAGCATGGTTGCAAAGCAAAGCTTTTGTTTCTTTTCCTTCTTTTGAACACACCAAAAAAAGGGGGCGTTACCATTGCCAAGCAACCAATGGCAAACATTCACAACAAAAACCTGTATCTCGATTCTGAAACCAAGTTTTCAACGATCACTTGCCTCAATCTCAAAGACACACACATATACATACATACTCCTTTCTCACTATACCAACATAACTCTTTGCTTGGCTTTCTTTTTCGAATCATCATCGTAACTGCCACTGCTGTTACGCTTTGCGATATTTTCGAAGTAAAGAGCATTAAATTCAATTTTCTAGCTTTCCCATCAATCAGCCCCGACATTCCTGTGTAGGAGCCTATTTATTGGCTATTTGTCTATGAATGAATTTAGAAATTTCATTCATGACATTTTCAGTTTCGAGTGCGTAGGAGTGTGAAAATTATTTATGTTCAATACCGTATATGAAAAAAGAAATCACAGCTTTAGAACGCATTAAATTAAAATAAACTGAAGCTTTTGAATTTCTGATCAAATTATTTGAATAAAATTTGTTTAAATTAGTTTTATACACTCTTTCGGTGTCTGTTCTGATGCACAAATAAAGACTAAAAAGAAAAAAAAAATAAGAATGAGAATGAAGTTTCGATATAAATAGTTAACAAGTAAGTTCGGCCGGACCGAATTTTTAATACCCTTTACAATTTTGAAGGAAATTGAAAAATTTAAAAAAACAATTCCGAAAACTAACACTTTAATGAAAACCTTTATATGGGGACTATACGAAGACGTGGACCTGCATACGAAATTTTGTGTCATAGGCTGTAGTGCCCATTACGAACTTCAAATAGAAAATTTGTTACAATCATGGTGAATAATTTCGCAAAAATCATGAAAATACGGAGTATCGGGAGGTACCGTCATATGGGGTATATACGAAGATGTGGACTTGTATACGAATTTTTTTTCCCATAAGTTGTAGAACCCATTAAGATATTTCAATACAAAATTGGAAACGATTCCGGTAAATAAAAAAATTGCTGAACTCGTCAAAATACCGTTATTGGGAGGTACCGTTAAATGGGGGCAATACGAAGACGTGGACCTGCATACAGGGTTGCCCATATTCGACGGACCTTTGGGCCCATTCCAATCGACAAGGCTTGTCCGCAGGCAACATTCTTTGCGTCAATTGAATTTTGTACGGGAACAAATGCAAATCAATGCGAATAATCCGTTGTAAAGTGGACCGAACCATGTCCAACTGCTGAGAACGGCGTTTTTAGGATGTTCTTGGGGACCTCTCAACACTGGCTCGTACGGCAGCGATATTCTCGGCCGATCGCCTTGGTCGACTTTTATATGGCTTCTTCGGTTTAGAAAGAGCCTTACCAGTCGAAAATCTTTCGTATAAACGCTTAATGGTGTTCTTAGAAGGCGCACTTCTCACATTTTTTAATGTTTTAAAAGCAGGTTGAGTTTTTACCATTGACTTCTTCTGTTGAATGTAAATTTCAACTATTTCAGAGCGCTCGCGTGGCGTGTATTGGTTCATGGTAAAAATCTGCTTGGACTGACGCTTCAAACGCGGTATGTCATTAAGCGATGTGACATCTCTGTCAAAAGTTATGGCGTTGCCAGATAGGTCCGTCGAATATGGGCAACCCTGTACAAACATTTTTGTCAAATGCTGTAGTAACCATTACGAACTTAAAATACGAAATTTTAAATTATTCCGGTAAATAATGCAGCTAAAATCATGAAAATACCGAATATCGGGTGGTACCCTTATCTGGGGCTATACGAAATCGTGGACCGACATGGCCCATTTACGAACTTAACCTGCCTCTTGGTAAATTATGCATGTATGCTAAATTTTAGCCTTCTTTCTCAATTCGTTCGGAATATAGCGTGATTACAACAGACATACAGACGGACATCGCTAGATCGTCTTAGAATTTTACGCTGCTCCAGAATATAAAGTATAGGGTATATTATGAATATTTCGAGGAGTTACAAGTGGAATGAAAAAGTTAATATACCCTCCATAGATGCCTAAAAATACAATATTTTGGTACCCCGAACTAGTTTAATGCGCTGATGCAATAATCAAAATATTAAAAGACTCAACTCTAGGTAGTGTTTTAAAATCAAACGATTTTTCTGTCTTTTTTAGACATAATTCGCCACCGATTGGAGTAAAAGATGGAAGCTCGATATCTCTGGGGACAGAAGCCCATTTCGAAAATTTCAATTATAAAATAAAAATATAAAAATAAATAAAAATATTATTCCTAGCTCGAAAATTAAGTATTATTTTAAAATTGTAGCTTTTCTTTTGGCACATATCATTCATAAATATTCGTACCAACCATTATATCTACAGATATAAAGTAAATGATAAAGTATACCATATAAATGCCCTCCACCATAATATTGAAAACTTAAATTTTACATGTCGCCTGGTTAATTGATATTTATATTTCTCCCTAATTTAAATGTCAAATACATTTCCGCACTCTATTCCCCCAAGTAGCAGAACCGACCGATTTGCATTTTTTGGAGTATTTTAAATTTGTTATTTGGACTTCGTAATGGGAAGACGATTATTTTGCAAAAATATATAGGTATGTCCATATTGAGGCATATAACAGCTACCATGCTCGTACATACTTTTATACCCTCAGCGATATGGCTAAATATATCATTTGATACGTCCAAAACGTGCCTCATCGAAGTAACGGTTTTAGACCCTAGGTCTCTTTGAACCAAATCCATTTCAGGACATTTGGAGTCGATCTAGCGATAACCGTCCGTCGTTCTGTCTGTCTGGCTGTTGCGCACGATACCTCTCGAAGGGAGTATCCGATTTTGTCCAAACTTGGCACATCGTAATATTATTATCAAACTTTGATCGCGTTAGGAGATGGACAATATGGGCCACTTCTTCTGGAACCTTCCCACAACAGATCGAGATTTTCAAAGAAAATGTTTTGCTGGACAGAAAGAGAAAAGATAATCCAATTTTGCTCTAACTTTGTAAATCCTAATATTTCCATCAGTGCTACAGCAGGTGCAAAAATGGATAATATCGGCTCACTCCATCCAATACCTCCTCCACAAAGGGTCAAAATTTTGAAAAATTATAAATCCTAGAAAATGTGATGTATGTGTCCGATTGTCTTCAAATTACACACATCACAATATTTTATTAGCACAAGGTCTGGTGTGAAGATGGGACATATCGGCCTACTCCTTCTGATACCTCCTCCACAAATGGTCAACATTTTGAGTATTCATGAAACTCATGAAACACGAAATTAGTATCCGATTGCATTCAGACTTCGCACATATCAATATTTTTTATCAACACAAGATCTAT